CTTTACCCGAATTTCTAGTTTGCAGACCAATAAAAGATAGAGTCAAATTTCCTTTTGATTAGGGATTTAAATAAGGTGACTTGGAACACCAAAACTCAATTCCAAGTGGCGACTCTGAATAATAATTATCCCTTTTCAAAATGTCACTTTAATTGGAAAAACTCTTTTTTTTCTTTTCAAAAAATAAAAATCAAAAAATAAAAAATATGTTAAGAGAAAAAAAAGGGGTGTGACGCGCTTAAACATTGTTATCTTCTTTAATTATTTACATAGTCTTAATGAGATGTAAAACCTCAAACACATGGCAATTGAGACTGATGTGAATAATTAGACGAATAATATATTTATTTTGGTTAAAATGATTATGTAAAGGACGTTTAAGCATACACACAAAGAAAAAATCAAAATTTTAACTATAAGTATCTCATATGAACACTTATTTTATATTTAGATGCTTAATTGAAATATTTAAATGAAATTTATTAACAAATTTAAAAAAGACGGGATATTAAGTCTTTCCATTTTTTTTAATGTCATAAACTTATAATGCTATATTGCGATATAGCATACTAATTCTAATTCACCTAATATTCCCTCTTTGCACACCAATAAAGATCCGTATCTAATCAACTACTTAATTAGTGTACTGCAACCACCATAATTGCTACTTTTAGTATAAGGATTGGGATTATTATTTGATCTACTTTCTTCAAAAAAGCATTTGTTTTTCTTTTTATCTAATCTAATTTATTTGGAAATATATATATATATATATATATATATATGTTATGATGATAACATGAGTAGGCTTATTAGATTTTATTTACTGCATCCCCTTATAAGTGAAAATATATAATTATAACTTGCGAAGGACAATATATATAGTTTTATTTGTATTTTATTTAAATTATTCTCAAAATCCACATACTTGAAAATCAAGTAAAAAAATATTTTTAAATGAATGTAATTAATAAATTCAGAAAAGATTATAAGAACAATCATAGAATAACGGTTTAACTTTCTAAATATTATAATCCCTAAATTTTGTTTTAACTCAATTATTATTTTAGTAATTCAAGACTAAAATTGACAATTGTCTTCAATTATATTATTAACATTAAAGAAGTGTGCACAATATTTAAAAGAAAAATATATTTTACTTTTTGTTAAATAAAAACAATTTAATAATTTATATTATTATTTTTCTTAGCGTAAAGAAAAGTTAAATTTAATAATAAAATGGGACGCAACGAATATTGTTGTCAAACACCTCAACTATCACGAGGGAATACCAAGCACAAATATCATAAGTTGAGTACTTGAGCCCAAAAGAATGGAAAACATCAATATAACAAAAACGATTTTTACCAACAACAACAATAAATATTTATATTACTCAAAAAATGATAAAAAAAACATTTATTAATATTAA